CCAGCGCTGCGCTCCCCACCGGTGATCGAACGGACATGAGAGAACACCCGCCACTCCAGATGGGACCTTTATTAGTGTAACGCATTTTCTTACTGTATATTATACATCTTTCGTGTACGCATGCATGTATAACCAGGAGAGCATCGATCTTTTATCATAACATTATCGTTCATGTGCTTGGTCTGGCGCTTATCAGCCCCGTTCAGTGCTCCCGATGACTGAAACGTCTTCAGGTCTATTATCCTTCCGTGTGTGTGCCAACCTCAAAATCCTCGGCTCGTTACACTTGGCTCTTCTAGAACTTTTACTTCACGCAGGTTGGACAGAACATAGATAAGTTGAACGGTATGCCATAAATGCACACATACACACGCATAATTACGGTGACAGTGACGTGCTAGTTTCGAATAACAGTCGGGCATACTTTCGCATGGAGTCGTCAGGCAGCCATTGTACATGCAAAAAGCTTTTATGTTTTTGAACTTTCAGCATATTTGCAGACCGTACGTAGAGCGAGAACAACTAACTACATCGGCATCCTCGATGCTATCGCAGACTATTGATTGCAGATTGCAGGGCAACATCGATAAACTTTTATGTATAAATGAAAAGGTACGGTTTTGTGCTCGCGTGAATCACCCTCTCAGAGGTTGATTTTATTTTTTTGGAGAAAACTCCGAGGTTTTTCGTCCCCTCGATTGCAGAGCAATCTAATCCCTGCTTATCCCCATGGCGACATTCACAAAAGATGAAGGCCCCCGGAACCAGCACAGTAAAAGAAAACTGGAAATCAAACTATGTTTGAAGGTCGTCTGTAGCGTGAACTTACGTGTCTGCCGGGTGATCTTCCCAAGAGTTCTTTGGAGCAGTTTGGTTAATCCTGCACATTTTGGATCAGAGCCGTAAAACGTGAGAACAAGCTCCGGTTTGGGCAATTGCCAAATGTTGAAGAGTAGGTTACCTATCTTCTCGAATTTGGTTTCCTGCGCGATACGGATGTACTTGAAGGGGAAGAAAGAAGGAAAGCTGACTTCTTACTCTTATAAGGTTAATTTTACCATTTAATTCAACCCCCTACACCGGCAAGTACATTTAATCGTTGGCCTTGTGTATAAGACCTACAATAAAGCGGAAAACGGTACACAGCTTCTTGACTACGTACAGCGAAGGCTCACTATGTCTGGCGGAATGGTAGTGGCTGAAATAAATCCTGTGGGTCATTGGGTTCATAAATCTAAACTGGTGCCACTGGTGTAATGCTTGAAGTGCACTTGCAACGTAATTTTCGTCACCTGGGTTAATTTACTGTCCTCTTTAGGTTCCTGGGAAATTAATGATTGAACTTACACGAAAAGCTTCAGAATAAAGCCAGTTCAAGTTCGACCCGAAAGCTGACACGCATATTTGGCCGGAGGCAATCAGAAGGCATCAGATACTGAAACCGAAAGACCCACTGCAAGGGCAGGATCCTACGGGATCTTGTGCAGTTGCGAACAAAGCAACTATGACAGAGAAACTGGAGGACTTCTCAAGAAGCGATTGCCGAAAACGCGGCAGCAGTGCGGAGAAATGACGCCAATTCTCAAGTCGCGGCCCATTCGACGAGACCCGACCACACATTCAATGTTCGAAATTCTCGCGAGAGGTGACAGTCGTGTGAGCCGCTAATTACTTGGAGCATGGTGCACGGGCCCCAGTATACAAACAGGTGCAACGGCCTGCCAAATTCATATTCGGTGCAGATGCTCAATTAGGCCAAAGCAAGTGGCCAATTGCGCAACGCACAGGCCAACGCGTCATCTAACGCTAATGTCGGGGGACCAGATGGCCGAGCAATCATCACATCCAATGCCACCACGTTTGATGTAAGTTCAGTAGGTCACGGCCCGCACGCCGGTCATCAAGCGATTAGCGCAGAAGCGCACAATTATCCTCGATAGGGGAGTCATTAAGTGTGCAGTATCATAATTATTGTATCCTCTAAATACTATGACTCCCTGGGTATAAATAACCTGTTTCTCCTACTGGTTATGCCAATGTTTCTCGTGAAGAAGCCACGACAGACCTGAAAAAGTCACAAATTTCTTGTTCCAGCCATTGTATCTTCTTTTTCTTCTCAGTTAAAGCAGACTTGCGCCGCACACAAAAACACACCTACGCTCTTAGTTCCACATGAAAAAGACTTCAAAAGCAAGGGGATCTCAGATTTTGTCTCAAGGAGGGCGTTTGTTCCATCTGCATCTTAACCATGAGGAGGCTTGTGGCCGCATCGCTAGTGAGTGATGGTGCAAACTATGAGCTTTTTGGGTGTGGCAGTGGTTTGTAGCCCGTCTAATATCAGGAGTAAAAGTACCTTGCAGTCGAAGAGAGGTCAGTGAGAAGAGGTGGAGGTCGTTTAAATTGACAATGAAAAATGTGTTAGCCTACCTGGCTAATGACTGGCGATAGCGCGGACTCAAACTGGCCGAAAGTACTGGTTGGACGCAGGACGAAGCCTCTGTGGCGTCTCCTCATCAAAGCCTGCAGGTCGGACTTGGCAGAGAAACGCTCGTGATCTTCACCCTTCCCATGGCAATTGCAAGCATCTTTTGTGCTAATTCTTGAAACAAAGGAATTCATGGTAAATGCTTTTTTTACTAAGAATGAGAGGCCTACTATAGGTGGCGTAACGTTTTGCCGCTCAAAAGCTGGCATAAATTAGGTTCCTACCTTATAAAACGTCAACCAAAATTGCGCTTTCTATGCGAACAAACTACGCAAGTACGCCTTTAATATTGACTACCCTGCAAACTTATCTCATGGTATTTGCGAACTGGCAGGATGACAACCTTTTAAAGATCTTCTGTCTGTGCGCCTGCAAGAAAAGAATGTTCTCAAAGATGGCTATTTGAGTTGAATGACCTTTTCTCATTGGTTCTTGATGCCGTTAAAAATTAAAATATACTTTATGAAATACGTGTACCAATGTATTATTTATTGCACTCCTTTTTTAGATAATTACATCTTATCCAAAGTTAATACTTGAGTAAGGGCGTTCCAACAAACCGATAGCTACTTTAATCACCTAGCTTGTACACCCAAAGAATAGAGTTGGGTACCTTAATAAGAAAGAAGTCATCAGCAACATCCCATGCGGAGGTTGTGATACTGTTTATTGTGGTCAAATAGGAAGATCCGTCTCAACACGCATCCGCGAGCACCAATTGGCCGTGAAGAGATGTGACCATTAATCAGAAGTGGCTATGCATTGCCTCGACACAGGACACACCTTTACATGAGATAAAACACGCATCGTCGGAGTTTGCCCCTCCAAAATGGCCGAGAATTCCTTGAGGGCATGCACTCCGAGGACTCATGCATCAACCGGCACATACAATTAGATGGTATTTGTGGACACTTCAAAGAACGGTGGAAGAGAGGAAGGCGGCAGGACACAGACTGACTGAGGCCCTTCCTACCAATTAGGTCTCACTCCATATAACTATTAATTTTTTCGTAGGTTTGAAATTTTATTTGTTCATTGCACATTTCCTGTTATTCCGAAGACGAGCGGGAGCACTAGACTCGGAAATTCATTTTTAACGTTACGTTATACCCCGAAAGAACATCTTCTACTTCAAATTAAAATTTCTTGGGAAGCGTGTTTTCCAGTTTATGCAAAAGAGTTTTATATGTTAAACACTGACAGGCTAATTCACTGTCTTGCATCACAAGTTAAATAAAATGCTTGAATAGCTTCCGATTTGACTCCTTCCGGTGTTTTTCTAAGTCGGCCATGGCGTTTTTCTATGATGATAGTTGGCTGACAAGCAGTCACTA